GAGCAAACTGCCACACACAGCAGCAGAACTGGGAGACTCCTCATTTCCAGTGGCTTTCCTTGGATCCGAGATGCCTTTTGCCCTGCTCTCTGTCTACCTCCTGCTAAGTCCACCCTCTGCAGCTCAACATTTATAGAGTGATAGTGTTTGTTTAGATCACTCGCAGCTTGACTCATCATTACTTTCATCCAAATGGCAGCGGGACCATATCCAAAAATTCCGAATTCAAAGTAGGATGATATAACCTACTTTACTAATTTTTCTCAACCTTCCCAATTTTGCAAGGCAAAATGGTGATTAATCTCCAGGAAATGCTTCCTGTCGTGGCAGAAGAGAAAACTAGGACATTTTTTTTTTTAAGATGGAAAAATTGACTAGAATTCACTGGCAAATTATGTTTGTGTTTGAGAGTGGTAGACTGACTTGTTAAAAAGTCAGAATTGTGCAGAACTTTTAAAAGCCGTTTTATTTTAAAAACATACTAAAATTAAATATAGTGAGATATAAGCAAATGAAAAGATGCATACACATAGCTGTAATCTATATTATATGCTATTATATTTTAAAATATAGGACATAATATCTAGAAGAAAATTCATTCTTTTTTTTGTGTCTTGAATTTGAAATACCTGCAATTGATTTCTGGTTGCATTTGCCAATCCCTAAAAATGGGAAAAGTTCATGGGAAAAAAAGAACAAAGATGGTCTATTAAAAAGAAGGAGGGATATGCTTTTGGGGTCAGTTTTGATTATTTACCCAATTTATTAGTGAGTGGTGGAACCATAATAGCTATTCCACAGAAACTTGTAGAATTGAAATGAATGACATTGCTCACCGAACTGGAATTCTATCTTTGTCTTCTACCTTATTATTCTTTTTCAATTTCATTTCCTCATCCTTAAATTCAAATTAGTAGATGATTTGAAGTTGAAAAAAAAAAAGACATCCTAAATTCTCTCTTCATAATTCTTCTTTTCTCTTCTCTTCTTCTCCCCTCCCCTCCTCTCTCCTTTTCTTTCCCTTCCTTTGTCAACTACAGTGTTGATCACATTATTGGTATATAATAAATGCTTATAAGGAAGATGTTGAACATTCTCAGGGAAAGTTTTTCTTAAACATTTTAGGGTCCACTTCCCTGTCTTTTCCCTGATCACTGCCTGTTTATTTGTTTCCTAAAATGTAGAACATTCTGGGAATGAGAACTAGGTAAAGTGCTGAATTAAAATTTTGTACACCTAAGAGGTAATTAATAAGTGAAAGTTTTGCTTCCTCCATTTGCATTTTGTTTTATTTTTATATGCTTCTTAATAATTGTTGGAGAGATTTCACCCACTAAGTATAAAAGATGCAATTGGATTTCCCATTGGTAGTAAGAGTTCTAAAACTGGAAGTGTCCAAACAGATGCCAGATGCTCACGTGGCAGGAAG